TTTTGGACTTTCTTTCTGGAATGTATGTTTTTTACTTTTCCGCACTAGATAGGAATTTAGGAATTCAGTAATTAGGACTTTTTCTGCCGCTCTGCGCCTTTTGTCTACGCGCTTTTTCATGCGGCTGCAATGGTACTCTGATTAGTGGGCGCCCTTAATCGTGTGTGTGACTGCAATTTTTGGCGGGTGCCATTGTAACTGTATCTTTCCTCTTGCACTTCGTCTCTCCCGCTCTCCCTCTTTTTCTTTTGCTGAAATTTTTGTAAGTTGCGGCTTGCATGCTCGGATCGATGCGTGGAGAAGGGTTATGTCCCCACGCCGCGGCCGATCATGCAGAACACCGACGCTCCCTCTCTAATCCCCGCTCTAAGTTCTGGTAATTTTGTGTCCTTCGCGCACGCATGCACGCTATAAATTCCGGCTGCGCGATTAGTCAGCTCTCTTAACCTGTTGTTGGAAGCTCAGGGTTGCGCGATCAGGAAGGGTCGATACACGAGCGAAGTAAGAGGTGAGTAGAGTAGGAGTTGGGCGACCCGACGGGCTGGTGCCGAACGCGCGGGATTGACGTGGGCCACGACGGACTGTGGTCACGCGCGAATCCGACGGGTGCGGGAGGACTAAGCGGGGTGACAACTTCGTGGGTGGGTGCGTGACGACGGACTGTCCACATCGGAGAAAGAGAGAGGGAGAAGGAGAGAGAGTTGAGGTCAATGGATGTGGATTTGCTGTTTCTTTGTCTCTTCCCCCTCTTCGTCTGTGTACATACATTTTGATTACGGCTCCGGGTGGTTTGCCCGTTCTTACTTTCGTTTCGGCTTTCTGAGATTTGGGCTTGGGTTTTTGCTCACATTTGTCTTTGCTATGTCCGTTCCGATTGCATTATACCTATACTTACCGAATGTATGGTCGTATGAATGTGTAGATGTGTGGACGTTATGCCTGTTTATACCTCTTTTTCTTGAGGATCCCTGTCCTTGCTTCTTGTTCGTCATTGCCCACACCTGATGCAGTTGCAGATGAGATATGAAAATGGCCCCGATGGCGATTTTGTCCTCGTTTTGCTTATCTCATGATGAGGGGTGTGATATGGTTGCATCTTGCATAACCCGAAGCAATTAAACCGCGAACGCCACGCGAGAACCCGTGTAAATGCGATCCGAGTCGCGCCCTTACACGCATTCCTGTGCAACGACTCGCTCCCCCCCCCCCCGAAAGGAGTCACGACGGAACCATCATCCCATACGAGCACGCCGAGGCGCCACTGATTCGGCCTGTCCTACACATGTTCGTACGCGGCGACGATAACCCGACCCACGCTATCCCGCCGACGATGATACCATGACGCGATCTTGGAACTCGGACTCGTCCTACGACCCGGACTATTTCACCCCTATAATAAACGAGCTCATAAGGACACGATATCCCTGTCACACGGAGAATCGGTTATGTCCACGGGAATTCCACTGTGCCACCACTAGCGACCCTCGGTGTTCCGATTTCCCTTCCCCCGACCACACATACTACTTCACCCACCCGGGATTCGTTGAGATCACCACCAGTTTCCCTCCTTTCCGCCTCCTTCTCCCATATCATCAACTCAGTGTCGTCCCATGGCCCGCCATAGCCCGCTACTGGCCCAATACGTTTTGCGTGAACAGCCGACGTAGCGGCGGACAGAGAACTCCGGAATTCCGAAGGCCCAACCCCGGCGCGCGGCGACCTGCGCCACGTGGCGGCCCCCGACGGCCTAACTTTTCAGGACCACCCCCACCACGGAGGGATTTCCTCGTAACCCGTCACCCACAGTGCCCCGGCCCCACCAGACCGTGAGTCCCTGGCGCACGCAGGATTGACTCGCCTAATTGCATTCATACCCTTAAGACTCCCCAACTTTCCCCAAAAATCCTTGGAACACCCCTTTTCGCACTTCCAGACCCACATCCCACTCCGATCAGGAAGTCGCGCTGGGCGTGAGGTTGGTATCGGAACCCGACATGTGGCTAGGGTCTTAGGATTGATAGCACGTTAATTAGGCGACCTGGCTAACCGTGGGCAGCCTCGCCCTCGGAACGCGTATAGACGCGACCCTATCGTCACCAGAAGCAAAGCGGCTAACCGACGAACAGCCAATATGGCTGCCAACGTGCAAATTCCAGCTCCGCAACAAAATGCTAATCTACCAAATCAACCTGCCCTACGTGCACGAGCTCCCATGTCGCCACCCGATCTCAATCTATTCGATCCGGCGCACTATCTCGCAGGAGCATGGCTGGCCACGCTTAGAGCACAGCAGTACGATGATCACGAAGCACAGATCAACATTCCGGCTCGAATGGGAGGAGACGCTCATCATTGGTATAGTACCAATGTATGGGTGGATCTCCCAACCTTCAAACGGGATTTCATGAACTGATTTGATTATGTTCACCCTGAGCAGGCATTATACATGATCAAGGACCGAGTGCAAAAACCTTGTCGAATCCGTTGTGGAATATTGAAACCGGTTCTACAGGATGTTCGTAAAAACTGAGCGAGGTGAGCAAGTAGGGAGAGATCTGTTCATTGACGGACTCCGCAGTCGAACAATAAGGACTAAGTTGCGAAAGAAATTTTCCCCCATCACTCATACGCTACAACAAATTATGGCTGTCGCGGAAGAAATGGAACGAAAGTTCGCAGCGAACTTCCTAGAAGGAGAAGACTACCCTAGAGACAGAGATTTGACCGAGCTCGTACGAGCAAGAGCAGAACTGGCTGCTTTGCAGAACAAATTTGAAAACATGGGATTTGTATCAGGACCTGTCACTTATATGGAACAGATAGGCCTTAAACGAGTAATCCTAAGCGAGACTCCAAGCATCTCTGATCCTATGATTCTCCCGCCCGTCAGGGCATTACCCCCGCCGCCGGTTGAGGCTCCTGTACGATCAAACGAATCGGCGGCCATTTTCGAACTAACCAAAACTTTGATTAGTTTGATCCAAGAAAGCAAAAAGGAACAGCAAGAGCACCATGCTCGGTTGGAAGCCATGATGAAGAACATGCGACCTATTGCGGTGCGTGCCCCTCCGATGCAACAAGGATTAGCCCCCGTCCCTACTCTCGGAGGAGCTGCGAACAATCTGAATGTTTGCTACGCCTGTCATCAGCCCTGACATCTAGCCCGTGACTGCCCCCACCGACCCCCACAACAGCGGATCGGAGTCGCACCTATGGCTGCGGTTCCCATCGCCAATGGACCTTGACGAGTCGGAGCCTTGATGGAAGAAGTAGAGGGTGGGGGAGGTGCCTTGGCCACCACGGAAGAGGCCGCCGAGCTAATTCCGCTAGATCGGTATGTGCCGCTGGGATATTTTGGACTAGGAATGATCGGAACAATCAGACCAGCACCAGAACCAAAAGAAGTGGCGGAGTGGCGACCGTCCTTAGGAGAAATGGAGTCGGGAGGACCCACCTTCATCACAGGAGAAATCGATGTATTAAACATTATCCGAGCTTTGGACCATCGGATTCCACTACCGATCGGTCACCTACTCTCGATCTCTGAGCAAGCCAATGAACGAATGCTACAGCATTGCAAAGCAAACCGAAAGCGATTTGCCCTCACCCGAACACCAAGTGCCAAAGCCAAGGGCCCCGCGCCGGAAGAAAACCCAACAAGCACTCCAGACCCAATACGGGTGGGATTCATTCAGAAAGACGATCATTTCTTACGGATTAAACCGATCCCGTGGAAGTATGCAGAGTGTGATATAGAAATTTGGGGAATTCCTTACAACGTCATTATAGACTCGGGTGCAACTGTGTTGGCCATTTCACTGAGAGTGGTCGAAAGCAGGCAGGAAAAACGATCTGATTATGCTCACCGAGAAAGATTAGTTCGTTTCGACAGATGAGGAAAAGATTAAAACTGTGGGGAGAATAACCAATGTTGCCTTCCGATTAGGGAAAGTACACGCACTTGGGGATGTCGTAGTACTAGATTTTAATACATACGACGTTCTTTTCGGACTTCCCGCTCTTGTGGCATTACGAGCAAACCTAGATTTCGAACGACGATCGATCATCCTCCGAAATACAGGAGGAAAACCTTACGATGTGCCCATGCGATTGACCCTTCGCACTACTAATAACACGGTTTCGCAGGTTTCGCCGATGATGACAGGAACCGTCCGTATGATCTCCTGGGACGAACCCGCAGAAAGGGAATCATCAACTGATGACGCGGAAAGCAGTGACGAGGACGAACTGGAGGTCTTGAAATTGGTACGACAACGCGTTTACTACCAGGCGCCCAAAACGATAGCGAGAATGATGCAACTGACCAGCCGAAAAATTCAAAGGACCAAGGCGATGATCTTGGGAGAGCCCCTTGTACAGATTTCGAGGATGGTCGACTCTTTGGAACCCCCTCAAACCCTGTACGAAGGCATCACCCCTCTCCTCGCCAGGTACAGCGACAAAAAACATTTTTGCGACATTACGGAACTACCTAAGTCTATACTTACGTTGGCTAAAGAAGTGAGATTGTTGCGCTTGGGGGCGGAAGCAAACTCTCTGGAACCCCCTGGGCGTCTTGAAGCAGAAACAGACGAACTAGGGATAAAGATTGCAACTAAGGAAGTGCCATGGCAGGATGTTTGTGACGGGATTACCCCGGAAGGACACGTGGCCAGTCGGGAAGAAGATGCCCAGATGATGGCCACGGTGTTCTCCTGGCAATCGGATCATTCATTTATCTCGGCGCCTCCACCCGACTTGCAAAACAGGCGAACACGAAACAGATTGATGTTCGGATATGGAACCAACTTTTCGAACTACACGTTCCACAATATGTGTCGGAAGAAATCCACCAGGTAATTGCGGATATTCTAACGAAATACCAAGGAGCAATTAGTGTGTCAGACACTGGCATCGGATTGTCGTTAGTAATCCAACATGAAATTCAGACAGGAAATCATTCCCCGATTCATTGCAAACCGTATCGCTATTCCTTGATTGAGCGCAAAAAGGCTCTCGAACGAATTCGGGAATTCGAAGCTAGTGGTTGGATTGAACCCGCTACCGGACCTTGGTCCTTTCCCGTAGTGTTAGTACCAAAGAAAAACGGGGCGATTCGCATTTGCATTGATTATCAAAAGCTGAACAAAATCACGATCAAAGATGTGTATCCCCTCCCCCGGATTGATGATTTATTGGATGCGATTGGGTGCGCTAATTATTTCAGCAAGTTTGATATTCGGCATGGCTTCCATCATATTCTGGTAAAAGAAGAAGATCGGCCGAAAACGACCTTTGTGTTGTTTGAGGGCACGTGGCAGTGGGTTCGGTGTCCGATGGGGATTTGCAATGCGCCTGCCACGTTCCAGCGAGCGATGAACATAACATTCCAGAATTTCGTCAACAGGACACGGCTGACGCAAGGGATGATCAACTTCTGTGTGATCGTGTACATGGACGACATCCTAGTCTATTCGGAGACCTATCACGGGCACGCGCAACACATTGAATGGACATTGGGTGCATTAAGAGACATTGGGTTCAAGATTGCGCTTGAGAATAGTGATTTTTTCCTCTCGGAAATTTCGTTCCCGGGCTATGTCGTGACACGTGGGGGATCGCAGCCGGATTCGAGAAAAGTTGAGGCGGTGAAGGAAGCCCCGGTTCCCACGTCACTGACGCAGGTTCGAGCCTTCTTGGGGCTGGCGTCGTACTATCGGCGCTTCATCATGGGCTTTGCCGCGATTGCACGACCACTAACGAATCTGTTGCGGAAGGACCAGCCCCTCAGCTCAGACGCGGAGTGCCAGCAGGCTTTTGCAACTCTCAAGGACGCTCTGGCAATGACCCCTATTTTGATTCGACCGGACCCCTCGAAACAGTTCATTCTCATCACGGACTGGCAACCGGAAGCTATTTTCGCTATTTTAGCACAAAAGGGGAACGATGGTCGCAAACACGTCATCGAGTACGCGTCACGAACCGTACCGGACGAACGAAGAAATGACTCCGCACCTCAGGGTGAGTGCTATGCAGTAGTTTTGGGAATCCAACACTTCCATCCGTATCTCTACGGACAGAAGTTCCGCCTCGTAACGGATCACGAGCCTCTACTAGCGCTGAAGAAACTCACCAACTACACGGGCATGATTGGTCGTTGGGCGGTACGATTACAAGAATACGACTTCGATATCGTCCATCAAAAGACAGATCGGCACGGCAACGCGGACGGGCTGACACGTCTGCACCGGCCTGCCAAGGTACCAAAGGGTGAGGAAATTACACCGTGGAAGGAGTCGGACTTGACCCATGAGCCGAAATACGAACAAGTGGCAGTTCTTCTACGTGGCAAGAAGTAAAATGGCGACCATGGGTGATGGAGGTAACCCCACTACCCCTCTCTCTCCCCCTTCCTCTTCGTCTCTCCTCTCCCTGCCCGACAAATTTTGCTATTTTTGCGAAGCTATTTCCCGCGTATATTCGGTCCCCATGCGTCCTAACGGGGAGGGGTATGCGGATTGGATAGATTGTCGACAGTGTGTTGCACGAGCCCATGGCTCGGGCATCCAATACAGAAACGATAGTAAACCTTGGTTGTGTACCTTGTGCCGGACCAACAAGATTCCTACCGAGGCTCGATTTTTGGATGCCACGTCAGAAGGACTGGAAAAGACCCGAAAGTTTAGAAGGGTCGAAGTATGGACAGATATTGCCTTAATTGCCACCCTAGTAGGTAACCCCCTCCAGGATTTCACCAAAGAAGATCGGAGGAGGGCCAACGAAAGAGCTCGGGATTGTCAATGGGTAGAGGGTAGATTAGAAAAACGGAAAACGGACGGCGGTGGGATTTGGATGGTAGTGCCACATCCGTTCATGCGGTATGACTGAGTTAAGACAGCCCACGAGGAAACTGCGGCTCATTTTGCCGTACGAATCACAGAGTCCGCTATCGAAAAAAAATGAGTGGTATTGGTCCAATATCCGCGACAATGTGAAGTACATCGTCGCCAACTGTCAGGTCTGCGCCGCTGATAAAGCGCCGATTCAGCCGCCAAGATCGATAGTGCCCACGATTGTTGAACGGCCATTTCAAAGAGTGAGCATGGACACTACCGACATAGTGGTGCCCCTTGGCCCTAATAGTTGCGAGTATTCAGTCCTGCTGGTATTTGTCGACCATTTCTGGAAATGGATCGAAGCGTATCCTTGTCGCACGCGGCAAGCCACGGAAATCGCGCGATATGTCAACCGTTTCCTTGGGATGATCCAGGATACGGAGGAAATCCTAACCGACAATGGGGCTGAATTCAGGGGAGAAGTGTTAAGGAATCTGGTCCTACACGGCGTCGCCATACGGAACACAACACCTCACATGTCACAGTCCAACGGGCTGGTCGAAAACGCTAACCGGGTGATAAAGACATCATTGCGACGAAACATCGCGACACAGGATCCAAGACCTTGGCCCGATATCGTCAATCACATCCTGGCGGTCCATCGCGGAACGCCCCACGAATCGACGGGGCTAAGCCCCTTCCAATTAAGGACCAATAGTGTGGCTTGAGTTTCCATACCAAGCCTCTCGGATGAGACTACATTAACCCGACGGCCCACCAGGGCCCCGGCTCGGGACAAGGCCAAACGGCACCTAGAGTTAATGGAACCGTCGCTGCCCAAGCTAGCCCGAAAGCGACAGAAAATGACCGAACTAGCCCAGGGCCGACACGTCCGGAGCTACGAAGCCCGAAATGGGAATGCGGGTCCGCGGCCCCAGTACAAATTGGGGGACGTGGTGCAAGTGAGGAAATGTGCTCGCCAGGGTAAGCTAGCGCCACAATTCCTTGAGCGATATCACGTGATCGAGCTTGGCCCCAACGGCGTGGACACCGTGCGCCTCGCCCCTGTAGTCTCTGACAGTCGATCGGCTCGTCCGATCACACGCCACGTATCCTATCTCCGCCCCCTCCCCTCTGCTCCAACTCCGTCTCCCTCTTCCTCTTGCTCCCTCTCTGCCTCCCAGACACCATCGCCATGAGCTTTGTGACGGAGCAAGTGATCGGCTCGTGGCTTCTTACTCCGCGGGGGTGAATCAGTGTCATACGACAAGTGCAGCGACCCCATCTCTGCTCGGATCTCCTCCGGTTTGCGGCTTTCTTCAGTACGACGGCAATCTACGCGGCGGCAGAGTTCCGATTCGCATAAGAAGCAACTACGCGCGTTCTGGCCGAAATCTCGGCCTTTCGACGGTTATCCCCTCCCGGGATTAGCCATATCGCTGTCGTTGTCGTCTTTACGGGGAATATCACAGCGATCCCGTCGGCGAATCACTCCGACATCTATCGGACGTTGTGCACTTGGGTTGGGGAAGTGAGGACTGCGTGGACGGATCTTCTGGCTCGACGAGGAGATACCATCATACCGGCGCATGACACGGACCTCCAGCTCCGCTCGTATCAAAGTTCGCCCACGATCGTGCTACCGGAGCTTCGTCCCTTCAAGCCGCCCCAATGAGTCTTCGTCGTGTCTCCTATTTCGGCCTCCCCTCCAGCATCCCCACCCTTTGGCAGTCTGCGCGGGCTCCCACCCTCTCTTACCGTGTCAAGGAGAACAGTGCATCGCTATTGAGTGAGAAGAAGTGGGACGCGAGGTGGGAGAACTATATCGAGCTCACTTTCTGCCTACTGGAGATACAGTTCCGCTGGTCAGAGGCGGCCCCATTCGAAGAAGGACCGGAGCACCCAGAAGACAGCGTGGAGTTTCTGATCATCCAAGTCTGGAGGACAGCGGAGCAGGGCGATCTGCTGGGATTTCTGTTCGAGAAGGTGGAGGAGGGCAATCTCACCTTGATCACGGACGAGTTGCTGGTGTTTTTGACTCAGCTGGCAGACGATCTGCCCCTGGACATCTTGTCGCACGTTGACAAGCAGCCTGGCACCCACGTGCTGTCTCGAACGCTCGAGCCGCACCTTGTGTGGTCAAGGTGTGCGAAAATCGACGAGGACAATTGTCTCTATCCCTCCCAGGCGCTCTACTTGGAGATCGACTTTACCGATCTCACGTTTTGGGACCCGATTGCGAGACAAAACGTGGAGCAGGACGAGGGGGCGGAACCAGAAGAAGATGAAGGAAGCGGGCTATCAGGATCGGAGTGCGAAGGATTCGAGCCTGAAGTATGCGACGCGGCGCGAAAACGAGCACGAGAGCGGAGGAAACGGAAGCACCAGGAAATCGCGGAGGGAAAGCGACCCGCAATAAACGTGTCCTCTGTCGATCCGTCGATCGGGGAACCGTGGCGTGATCCAGAGCTGCCAGAAGAGGAAGACGATGGAACCACAACAGAGGGATCACGGAGCCGAAGAAGAAGAAGAAGTGAATCGCCAGCTCCCTCCGGCTCCCCGTCCCGATCCTCCCTTCGTCTACATCAAGATCTCGGCATTCGGGCTTCGTCCCCGGTCGTTCTCTCGCCGACCCCGTGACTACCTAATGCTCACCCGCCTCCCCCATAGACCCCCGTTCCCCGATGGATGGTGTCCCTTCCCCCATCACCTTTTCTACCATCTCTACGCTACCCGCCTTCT